ACATCTAGAGATCTACAACTGAAAGGTCTAAAAAGAAAACACAGAGACATGGATGCCGGCATCCTGCCGGGTGGCAGCCGGGAAATCGCCGCGTTCTCGCCGGGTGGCAGCCGCCATCTGGTAGAAACCCGGCTGCCATCCGGCGAAAACCCGGCAGCCGGGTTTCTGCCGGCTATGCCGGCTCTTCACGAATCGCTTTTTGCCAGGTTCTTGCCTGCATCCTGCCGGTTATTCGCCGGCCATTTGCCGTGCTTCTGCCAATATAATGCTTCCGCTTCCGCTTCGCGATTGCAACGTAGGCGACGCCTGTAATCTTGTGCCAATATACTAGTGCTTTATCTTGTCTTGAATTTCGTTTACCACTTACTTTTCGAAGCACGAGACTTGGCAGTAGACGTTCGCAGCAACAGCGAACTGTAAACTTGCATTAGTTTAACCTTTTTCAGCGTTAATGAGTTTTTAAACCCATTAAACTTAACTTAATAATAAACATACTTTTAAAACCACGGTGCTTGGATACGAGAAGCAGGCGCAGTTTTCTCACTACAGGGTTTATCCAGAAACAAACGGTTAGATTTTACTAAACTTCTCTTGCTTCCTGAAGCTACTTCGTCACATTGGCGAAGCATATCGTGTAACGTGTAGGCTGGTTCATTATAGCCCAAAACTTCCTAAAAGGCTAATGAAACTGAAATACCTGGCTCGTCTGCAGTTCCTTTTAACTTGACATACAGGCACATTGAACCCAGAAAGACGACGGCAGATATTGAATCGAAATAACCTTTATCTGAAAACTTCCATTAATTTGGCGAGAAATCAAAGGTGTTGCCATATATCAAATCTAAAAACTCTAGTACCAATTCACAGACTGCGTTCTAAAAACATCAAACGTTTTTATAAGCTGTATACTTACCTCTTGTTTAAGAACTTTAAAAATCTGAATTTATGAAAGAAGAAACTGAACGCGCAAAGAAAATAGGGAAAAGCCGAGAAATTCGAAAGTTGGGGTAGGGCTACGAATAAATACATGTTTACACCGGCAAGAATCCGGCAGTGTCCCGGCAGCCGGCAGACAGCCGGCAGGATTCCGGCAGACCCGGCAGCGGGCCGGCAAGAACCCGGCCGCCGGCTTTTTGCCAGGTCGAGCAGCCGGCAGCCGGAATTCTGCCAGAGGTCCCGGCGAAAATCCGGCAGAAAACCGGCAAGATCCCGGCTGCCAGCCGGCAGAGCCATTTTTCCCGGCTGCCATCCGGCAGAAACCCGGCAGCCATTTCACTGTGAAAAATGAAAAAAATCGTGGTGAAAAAATCAGAAATGTGGATGAACGGGACTTTCCAGTTGACGAACCTTGCGTAATCTTATATCGTTACGGACTTTGTAAAATCGATTTCGAAGTTTTTGATTTTTTTTGCTTTGTTTTAATTTTTTGTATAAATTTATATAAATTTTATTTATCATTTAGGTTGAAGTTCTTCTCCTTTTCCTCACCCGTCCCCCGCCCCCGATAATGCCAAAGTACCTCCCCGCAGTTGACTTGCTTTCAGAAGGTTTGAAAGTGACCTTCTTTGCATACAAATTTATTAGGGTAAAAAGCCCCAAAAATTTTTATCTACCCGGTGCGCACGCGCGATGTCGGGAGCGAAGCCCGATTCGCCGGATCCGCCAGCGACGAGTCGACATCTTCGGCCGACCAGCAATGCAAAGCGCCGGAAGCCAACGAGTGGGGAAAGTTGCCTGATCCCGGTGAGTTGAAGATTGTATCCAACACTGTTTATTAATGAGATAGCCTTTAAATAACAGATTTTGGTCTTAATCCGCCGTAAAAAAAAACAGTTTCCAGATCGCGAGCCGCATCTCCTACCTCGAGCACCCGCGTCTCCAAGAGATGCCCTATTACCATGGGTTCATGCCGAGGAGCGAGTGCGAGAAGCTGTTCGAGAATCCGGCTTTTCGCTGCAACGGCGTCTTTCTAGGTTTGAGCCCGAGTTTGCGCGTGAAAACAGCCCGTTTTTCAGTGCGACAAAGCGTGCACGAGCGCAAGTACATCTACGTCATCTCGTCGTGGTTCGACGGGGCCCTCTATCACACGCAAATCTGCTGCAGTGATGTAGCTCATCGTTTTTCCCTTAATCGTTTTTTGCTTGTTGCAGAAATTCCGATACTGGGTGACGGATTGGAGCTTTCAAAGTATCCCGGCTCTGATCGAGTACCACGTCGACAAGGGGTAGGTGCAGCCATGATTACCTATCAAAAACCATTTTTTAGTGATCCGGTGTGTACGGAGGGCTACTACATCCGATACCACGCGAAGAAGTCGAGCTGGCAACTCGACCACTCGCAGATCATGTGCACGCGGCAGCTGGGCGCCGGGAATTTCGGGTGTGTCTACGAAGCCCTCTACCAATACGATCCCTACAAAAAACCGGTAGGTAGACTTGAAAACCCTATAAAATAAAGCCCAAAAAGAGCTAAAATAAGCCATGCCGTTTTCTACAGCAACCTTGCGCGGTGAAGACGCTTTTCGGCGAAAATATGGACGCCCTACAACGGAGTGAATTCTATTCGGAAGCTAATCAGATGAAGGAGCTCAACCACGTGGGAAAATTTTGCACCTGAAATACTCATTTTTTTTAGCCAAACGTTGTCGCCTTTTACGGTGTGGCGACGACGGACGAGCCGATGCTGCTCGTCATGGAGCTCGTCGGCGCCAGTTTACAGGGAAAAATCGAGAAAGAAGAGGTGAGAAAATACATTTTTGAACCCGAAAATCTCTAGCAAACCGAGATCGTGCGACTGAACTGGATCTACGACGCGGCGAAGGGGATGCAGTGTTTGGAGGAGCATGGTGTGCTTCATCGGTAGATTTTCTATCCTTTCGGGGGTGGTTTATTTATATTTTAAGTGGAAAACTCTTTCATAAACTTTAAAAACTGGTAAAATTTTGAGATTTTGGTCGATAAATCTATTTTTAACAGCTTTTTTAAAGTCCGTTTAGGATAAATAAAAAAATAAAATTTTCCGGAATCACTAACGAACTCTTTTTAGCGACGTAGCAGCCCGAAATTTCCTGCTCGACCGCGAGGGCGTCCACGTGAAGGTGTCCGATTTTGGGCTGTCGATGGCCCGCGGCGCAAAGGTGGACCCCAAGAAGAACGCCTTGCCGTTGAGGTTTATTCATTTTCTGTATCCTTGATTCCCTGTTCAGATATTGGCCACCGGAAGTGCTGAAAAGCTACAGCAAAGCGCAGCCACACTTCGACCACAAGGCCGACGTCTGGAGCTTTGGCGTCATGGTCACTGAGGTCAGGAATTGAAGCCTCCAAGCCGTGAAAATCTATTTGTATTTTCAGCTGTACACCCGCGGGAAGCGCCCGTTCGAGATCCTCGAGGACAAAAACCCGGACGTGCGCTTCCAGGCGCTGATCAAAAAGACGAAAAAGGATTGCTGGGTGCGGTTAAAAACTAACCCTATTTAAAGTTTAAATCAACCAGATAGGTTTAGTTAAAAACTAAAAAATCTCGATTCGCTACAGAAAAACTACCCGCTGCTGATCCCGATGCGCGGCGACCTGGAGAAGATTGTGCATCGGTGTTTCGAATATGACCCCAAGGATCGGCCGACATTTGCCGAATTGGTGCAACTGCTCGCCGAGGTCTGCTTTTTCTTTTAGGTGGCCCAATAAAGAATTTTTTATCGCATAAAAAGCCAATATCGATATTTTTCTGATCGTCAGAAACTTCATACCTAGTTTTTTGATTGCTTAGAAACAAAATTATGCTCAGAAACGCCGCATTTTCAGCTCCCCGACGTCGTCGTTCATGTGCTCGAGAAGCCAAAGAGCCTTCGCCGCCGAATTATCGACTGGTTCCTCGAATCCGACCCATAATTCCAGAATTAGCCTCTATTAGATTAAAAATATTAATGCGTGTACTGCCATCTAATAAATGTCCTGACTTTTGTCGTTGTTAGAAATTTACCAATTGTTCAAATTGTCAAAATAACACTATGGAGCTTTTGGTTGCGGGAAGGCACACGGCAAATCACAACATTTTGTGGAGGGCGGTGGTTAATGAATGAAGACACATATGCAGAGATCACAGACGCGACGGAATAATTGTCATTTTGGTGAGGGGTTAGGAAAGAAGTTTTAAAAGAGCATTTCAAGAAAAAAAAAGGAACAACAAAAAAGACCTATAAGTTCACGATTTTCGATAGTCCAACGAGGCTGGCCCCAGTCAGGGTGACAGCAATGGCGACGGCCATCGTCGTCAAGTTGCGTTGGCCCTGGAATGATTACAAAATTTACACAATTTATCGATCTTTGGCATTATCGGGGGGGCGGGGGGGGGAGGGCGGCGTGCGAATTTTTGCTGTCTAGAAATGCACAGTAACGTAATATAATTTTTTAATAGTGCTCTTAGTAAAAGAACTATCTTCCGAGCAGAAAAACTATCTAAATAACTTCAAAACTGTTTTTAAAGACGCAATTTTTCCAAAAAATCCATATTTTTTGCCTTTTTAATAAAATTTGGAGTTTTTACGTTTAGAAATAGTTAAAAAAAAACACTTCCCCTATTTAGATTAGAAAATTAGGCCCTAAGGAAAAAATCTGCTTGATCGAACCCACCTTGATTTCCCTGAAGTACAGAATGCTCCACAACGACGCGACGCAGCCGGGCAGGGTGGTGATGATCGGGAACGTGACAGCCTGAATAATAAAATTATAGAAACACAATAAATCCACCTGTGACAGGTTGTCATTCGCGATGAAGAACGATGATTGCGCGATGGCCCACATCAGTCCGCCGGCAAAAGAGGGCAGCGTGATTTCAGGGTTGATTATTGGCTTGTTTTTCCTGAAATGATGGATTTAGGTCCTTTTGCAATATCGGGAGGGAGGCAATATGCCTAAATGCCGGCTAACTTCATAGTAAGGATTTAACAGTTTTTAGTAAAGTTTAACTGAATTTCAAGTGGAAGACTATTTAAAAAACTTAGAAATACATTTTTTTCCGTAGAAATAGAAATTTTTGTCGGAAAATCAAAATTTTTCCGTGTTTTAACCAAAATTTGTAAAGTTTACACACTTAGTAGCACAGTAAACAAGAGCGTAAATAACATTTCACTCACTTGAAAATCGCGTATCCGAGAAAAAGTGCAGTGCCAGAGATGAAGATTCCAAAATAGTGCGAGAACACGTAGCTCAGCCCGTCAACAGGAGCCCCCGGGAAGTTTTCCGGGTTGTCTTGCATGTAGATCACTGGCACGAACGTCAGCCCGTAGAAGCAGCCGGAGATTAGAGCAAGGACGATGCCTCTGAAATTCGCGAAAGTTAATATTTTGATTTTGCAAGGCCAAATCGTGAAAAAGAAAAGGAAAAACTTACAGGCCACGGCCAGATGCCTTTCGCTTTGCCTCAACACCTTCGATGGTCGTATCTTCGGCCGTTTTATCCTTTCCGCTTTCCTCATCGTCCGATCCATCGCCGACATTCAGCTTCTCGCACTCGCCGTTCGTCTAAAATCAGGTTGTAAAAAGCCGGAAACGACATGGCAAAAAGCTTCAATGGCACAGCAAAATAAAAAATAGGCAAGAAAGTTCTTTGGATATTACCAGGGCTACCACGTTTTCCAGTTGATGCTCATCCTGCTTCAAAACAGAGATTGATTTTAAGTTTTCAAGGTAACGTTAAACTTTAGTAAAAAAAACTTACAAGATGAAGCGTGATCCGTTTGCCAGCCGTGTCGTCTTCCGTCTCATCAGCGTTGCCTTTTACACGCGAGAAGAGGAAGCCACTAAAAAAAATAAGATATAGTGTAAATTCTAAGCGAAACGGCAATAATGATAAAAAAACCAACCCCGTGAGCACCAGCGCGAGCCCCAAATAGTTGAGAATCGATGAAGCCGGTGGGTGCGCCTTCATGCCGAACAGACCGAAGCTAAAAAATCTATTTTTTAGAGGAGAAAAAGCACTCACCGACCGCCAGCCCATCCGACCAGACAATTCGTGGTATTCCAGAGGAGAATGGAGAGTGCCATGCCGAGTCTCGAGATGATCGGGATGGCCAGAGAGTTGCCGAGGGCCCACGAGAGGCCTCCTAACATGGCTAGCGGGTAGAAGCCGGGGAACGAGCGGAGGCCCCAGCAGATCCAGCCAACCAGCACTATCGCCCCAGACATCACCCATTGCACGAAGAGGCCTGGAAATATAAGAAATGTCAAATTTTTGATGGAATTCCGTCCATTTTTCCTCCATGCCTTTTGCTTTTAGGCTCCATATTTAACCCATATCTATCTAGTAACAGGAAGTGGTGCATTTTAATAGACTTTTTACTAGTTTTCGATGAATAAAACATAAAAAATTCGAAAATTGAAGTTTTTACTCATTTTTGGCCGCCTTCCATTGCACGAGAAGCCTGAAAATGCCGCGTAAGGATCAATAGTCGTAATTCCGCTAACACGAAGTCGTTTTTATCTGACTAATCAATTTTTAACGTTTTTGAAAAGCGATTTTGAAACGCAACGTGATATCAGCTATAACGACCGGTCGTCAATGGCCTAAATTTCAGACCCAGATCCTTTAAAAAACCGATAAAACAAACCCACCATCGCCAGCATCAAACTTCTTGATTGGGACGAACATGGAGCCGAAGAAGAGCACCGAGACGCCGCAAGCGCCCAGCCCCATCAGGGCCGACATCTTGGCCCTGTTCGCTGGAAATAAACTTAATTAAAGAACTAAAAAATTGAAAAACAGGATCAGGAAAACATTGTGATTTGTGAATTGGGGTCCCCGCTAAATTCTAGACAATGGCCGGGTACTGTCCAGCACGCGGACACCAGGCCCACGATGGATTAGCATAAATCGATGTGATTCGTGGGGGTCTGGCAAACATAAACCCCGAGCTTCCGAGGCTTTTGGTTGGGAGCTGGAGGCCACAGAAACAACGGTGCACGGAAGCATTAGCCCAAAAGTGAGAGATAAGAGGCGGCAACATATAGGAGGCGTGGAGCTCGGCTTTCTACATTTTTTGAGGAAATGGAGGTGTTTCTAAAGCTTTATGTCGCTTTTTTATTTTTCTTCAATGCCTAAAGTTCTCAAGCAAATAAAAACAGCGTATGTAAGGTATAAACATCTTACAAAACATGACAATTTGAAAATTTTTGCTACGCGTTGAGTTTTGCGTTCCAGTCGATTGCTGAAAACGTTTACTTTTAACATCAAAATACATTCTCAAAGCCCAAATAATTTTCGTTTGTGAAAAAACTGATCGGAACTTTCAAATTTTAGCTCGTTTCATGTTTCAAAAATTGAAATTACTTCTTTTTAATCCGCCGTTTAAGATTTTTTTTAATTCAAAACAAGCCTAAAAAATATGGTACAAACAAAGAGCCTTAAATAAAAGTACAGCGCAAATAAGGGATTTGCGCGGAACGGCTGGGTTCATGGCGCGGGGGTGTAAAAAAGAATATGCGGGCTCTCCGGGAACGGACAGTGGTCAGCCAGCCAGCCGGCTGGCTGCCGACCTGCGTCCCTATTATCTCTATCCGGTCCCCCGGCTTCTCGTCTCTCTCATTCTCTAGTCTCTCTTGCTCTCCCTCTTTAGCCTCTTTCTCCATCCCAATCCTGAAAGGAAGAAGATCGATGTGACACCATGGAGAGCACCATTGTACCGGCGCATACATATTCGTTATACCAGCGCCCAAAACCCGCTTCGCGGGCCTTGGGCGCTGGAATGCGGCCTTTGAATAAGAAATTTGACTTTCCGATGGCTCGGGTCCTTCGGACCCCCTCCCCTCGGCCCACCACACTTGCGCGTGCAACTTGCAAGAATGAAGAAATTTCTATTTTTTCACATTATGCAAATTACCCCAAAAATGAGTAAAACCGGCTTTAACTTTGTAAACTTGTATTTTATCAAAATTCTGAAAGCGCCATTGGAAACAGAAGGGTCGATTTCCCCAAGTGACGGAGAATTGGAGCATTTTATGCACCGGAAGGCCCTCAAATCGGGTCTCGAAACTGACATCCACACACACACACACACACACACACACAGTTACACGCCAAAATTATATAAGGTAGGATACAGGGTTATGGATACCTCACTTATAAATGTAAGAAAGAAGCTTTACAAAGCTCCAGAGTGACAGAAAGTTGCTTTAAAACGCTCAAAAATACCCTAGAAAATTCAGAACACTTTATTTTACAACCTTTTTATACGTAGCGCGCATTTCTGAACCTTTTTTTAATTTGAAAATCAAAGTTAAACTATGGAAAGGGTCATCGCAATTTCATAAAACTGGTTTTAAAATTTTTTTCATACCAGGGTTGAAAAACCGCTTCGCGGCTTTTCAACCCTGGCCCCGTCCAGGACCTGTGAAAGTCCTTAATTTGCATGTTTCTTCCTGAATTCTAGCAAGAAAAAAGTGAAAACGGCTCCCCTGTCCCTTTATATAGGCTCTTCCTACTTCCGGCGCATGCTAATTTCCCCTAACAAACAGGGTTTTACAAAAACCTATTTTTAATAGCGAAAACCACAATTTTTCAAAATTTTTATGTGTGTGCAGTCGATTCCGGACCATTCTAAACCTATTGTCGTTTCTTCCCTATCCGAAAAACCCTTTCCCGAGGCTGTAGGAGCGGAACATCCTAACGGAAGTGCATGCAAATATACACACACACACACACAAACACTATTTTTTTATATATAGTAGGATTCGGCGCGAATTTCCGAATTTTTTTTACTTTATTTACTACTTTACTTTACTTTAAAATCAACTCTAAATTATGAAAAGTTCCTTCAGAAAAGGTTATTTTGCAAAACTTTGATTTTTATAACTTTTTTAAACCTCAAAAATGCATCAAATTTGTTTCAAACCCCGAAAAAAAGATCAATAGCTATGTCGAGCCGGGCGCGCGGGGGTCAATTTTAACGGCATCCCGCGAGTCCGCGGCATCGCTTGTGCAAATATTGTCGTGCCGCAAAAAAGAGGCGCAGGAAACCCGAAAAACGTGGCCAATTTGTTGAAAGCATAGATAATTTATTCGGTCGCAAAAACTGGCAAATTTTTTGGGGCGGGAAAGTTGAAAAATTTGAAGAAAGTTGCAGAAATTGTGTGGTGGTGGTGGTGTGAAGTGAGATGGGCTGGGGGTTCGGAATGGCGAGAGAAGGGCACAACGAGCGAGGAATTTTATGGGAATTTTGCGAGGATTTTGACAGCTTTGCCGACTTTGGTAATGTCATCAATTTTTAGCTTTTCGATTACAAAAAATGGCCAGACAAAGTGTCAAATCCCTAGAATTCCCCTCATCTTGGCTTCCGATCTAAAAACCGTATCCGAATGGGAGCAAAACGAAAAGAGAGAAAGAAAATGAAAACAATTTTGGCTCGGGCAAAAAGGACGGAGTAAAGGGAAAGCAGCGTATCAAAAATGGGCAGAAAACGATGGTTAGAGCGCAGTAGATAGGCGCGTACAACGTAGCGGCGTGTTCTCCAATCTCGAGTACGTGCCGCTACACAACACGCGTGGGTTTTGTGCGCTTTTCGCATTTTCGGCAATTCTAATAATTTTGATGTTCTACTGTCCTTTAAAAGAAAAAGCAAAACAATTTTGGCTCGGGTATAAACAGGAAAAATTAAAGGGACGTTAGCTTTTTCAAAAATAGGAAAATAATGTCTAGAGCGCAGGACTTCGACGCGTACAGTGTATCGTCACGTTCTCCGATTCCGAGTACGATTCACTACACAGTACTCGTTTATCGGTACTGTGTGTGTATCTTATGCGCTTGTAGATTAGCGCCGATTCTATCCATTTTTCTGATGCGCTACCATCCCTTGTCAAGGGAATTTAAAGTCCTGAAATTGCTATAGAGTTTAAAATTCAAAATTTAAAGAACCAGACGCGAAAGCTTAGCACGATTTCGATCCGGGGGGCAAAACACAATCATTCGTTGTTTGATATGTGCACATGTCATGGAAACTGGTCCCCAATCCTACACACGTCTGCCCCGGTCCCGCTATTGCGCGCCCCCAGGCATACGGTACCCTCGCCCCACCCCCACTCCCCAGTGCCCTTTCAAACGGTTTTAACTTATTTATACAACCCTGGGGAGGTTTTTAATAGATTTTTAAAACTAAAATGTTAAAGTTCCTGAGGAGAACTGTCGTTTAATAACTTTTTTTTGAAAACAATTGCTTTTTGAACGAAAACACAGTGGTGATAGGTTTAGTGCTGCTAGGTTCATAATAAGAGCAACTTTTTGTTGGCTATAACCAAGGAAACTTTTAACCGGAAGTTCCTAAATTTGTTAACATATTGTTTTCCATGGTTTTCTGTTAACAAATGTCTATCGTTGACCGCTTCTCGGGATCATAAGTTATACTCTGAGGGGATGTAACGTCAGTTGATCAATTCTTCGTTGTTGTCACGATCAAGCAACCCTTTTCAAAGTAGAATCATTTACGAAGCAACCTAGCTTTGCACCGCCTGGTGCCGATTTCAAAACTATATTGATCCCGTAAGCAGAACCGCCTACTATAAATCTTGCAATGCTAAAAACACGTGCTTCTATTTGCAGAAAGCATCAGCAACACCGTCAAATGTTTCCTAAACCCAAAATCAAAACATCACCTCCGTCCGAAGCCAGTACTGACAAAATTGAAGGCTAACAGCTACAATTTTTCTAAATTGAGCACTTTTTTCCTATTCGAGACACTACCCCCTAAAAGCCGTCAAAATATAGTTCTCCTCAGGAACTTGCACATTTTAGCTTTAAAAAACTATTAAAAACCTCCCCAGGGTTGTATAAATGAGTTAAAACAGTTTGAAAGGGCACTGGGGAGTGGGGGTGGGGCGCGGGGTACCGTATGCCTGGGGGCGCGAATAGCGGGACCGGGGCAGACG